TTGGGTTGCAGGTATATTTCTGAGATCTCTACTTTCTCTATTGGATCTAACAACTACCTTTATAAATTAATGAGCTTTTGTACCTGACTTGTGGCTAAAATTTTAAAATAAAAACTACAAAATTTCCTTTTTAAAAATTCACATGACAATATTCCCTACCCATGTAGAATTTCAAGATATTGTACCTGTATACTTTGTCAAGACTCTGATATACATATTAAAAATATGAATGTATTAAATTACACTGAAATATATATCCCAGATTAGACAATAGTAGTAGCAGCTAATATTTCCTAAGCATTTACTATGTGCCAAGCAACGCTATGCTGAGCACTTCATGTCCACTAACCACTGGAGACATTTTATTATACCGTCTGTGTTACAGTGTCAGAAACTAAAGCCAAATCATACAATTAATAGGTGTCTATTCCAGATGGAAATCTAGAACTTTGATCTTCATATACTTGCTAGAATAAAATATAATATAAATCTTACATTTCTGTAAGATTTCAACAGCAAGAGCATTCTGGAATATCTATAGCTGAATGTAACTAGTTAAATGATTTTTGTTTTTATGTAATCCTAAGATTTGTATAGTGTTTACAGTTTGCATTTTTATTTTTTAAAATATATTCTGTCCTTTTTTAAAAGCATGCTATCTTCATTCCTAAAAACTTTAAACTCAAAGAAATATAATATCCTGTTTGCTCTTAAAAATTCATGGTCAGATTTTGGAAAAGAGCCCAAGAGAGGCTGTGAATACAAGTGTGAAACAATTATGTTATCATAAAACAATTACAAAAATTTCTTCTGGTACGTCATCTTGTACAATTCCCTTTTCCTCTTATTTTTTTCCCAGCCCTCTGCAGTCCCTTTTTTGGCTCTGCCCCCCTCTACCTCCCACTAACTTTGTAGTGCCCTACAGTGTAGCTACAATTTTCTTATCAGTTAGGCTCAGTTACAGCAACAAAACACGTTGACTTTTGAGCCAAATCAATTCAGACCTATTTTCAGGGCCTGTTCCAAAGAGCTAACAACACAACTGCAGGACCCCCAGGAGGCATAATGAGTCCCAGGCTATTTCTGGTCTGAGGGGGGTCTAATGATGAAAACTGGCAGTATGAAGTTCTAGTGTGAATATGGCAAATAAAGGTTTTGAACACTGCTATGGCCCTATTAGGACCATAGCTGCTATCACTAAATATGTCAGAATCATCTTGGAAGGAAGAATTCAGACAGCCATTATCAATGCATCCGAATTTACAGGTTGGTTGAGACCCATTCATTATCTTCCTTGTTGAAGGAAATT